CATTTGCGTTGAGCATATGTCTAGGTTCTAGTCTTGGTTTCTAAATACCTTTCCTCTGTAAAAGGAACCAGGGCCCCTTGGAAAAGTGGTTGATTCCAGGGCTGGGGCAGGGAAAATTCAAGATGAGACTAGAGCATCTTCTGGTGCCAGAAAATAAGGAAATACTTAAAATGGAATCTTAAAAAGATGGGGCATGTTGAAAGGATACAGGAGCCAACCTAAATTAGCTCCAACTGGCCAAAGCTGGAACTATTTGAGCATCAAAATAAATAACACTATAACAATAGTATTGAATTACAACCCAAACAATAAAATAAATATTCATGAAAAATATAATATGACAGTATTATAAATCATAAATAAATGATTTAATTAATGAATAAAAGGGGAAGAAGGGACAACTCTTCCTTCAAGATGAATTGTTACTGATAAGTGTAGAAGGAATGACGGAAATGAAAACTCACCGTTGGAACGCAGCAGTAACCCCTGCTGCAGTCAAGATCAACCAATGAATGCTAATTCAGTGGGTGAAAGTTTAAGGAGAAACAGGGTATGTATAACCACAATGTATCTTTTCTGAAATATTAATTACAAGGGGAAAAATAGTAACTTTACAACACAGCAACCCAACAGATACCACCTTTAAGAGATCGAGGTCATCCCAACCAATAATTAGACATAATACCATGCACCCCTGAAATGATGCCCCGAGAAGAATACTTCACCTCTGTGATGTTCGTCCCCAAAATTCACAATTCTCATCTAATCATGAGAAAACCTCAGCTAAGTCCCAGGAATAAGTGGTATTCCTTATTCCTGGTCATGAAGGAGAAGGGAAGACCGGGGGACTTACAAATTAGAGAAGACCAAGGAGGCGTGACAACTAAATGCATTGTGGGATCTGGAACTGAAAAGTGACATTAGTGGAAAAAACGATGAAATCTTAATAAAACCCATGGTTGTATTAGTGGTACTGAATCAATCTTAGTTTTGATAATTCTACTACTGGAGTTAGTAAAATTTGGGAAGCTGGGGGAAGGGCATAGGGAATTTTTCTTTATTGATGACAACTCTTCTGTAAATCTAAAATTATTTCAAAGTTAAAAGTTAAATAATATCATAATGAATTTGATGTTACATGGCATAAGTTTTATGACAAAACAGGGGGCAAAATGTCTGAGGGACATAGCAGCCATCATTTTAGGTATTAACTTGCAGATCAGAGTGTTACAGAAGACATTAAATTAGGAGGGTGCTTCCTTTCCAGCAAGGCCAGGCTGGCTCTGGGCCTAGCATACAGAGGAATACGGAATACCTAAGAGATTATTTTCATAATGCTTTCCAAAAGTCAGATGAGAATGTGGGGTCTTCTGTTATTCTCTGTTGTAGTGAGACCCTCTTCTGTGTTTGCAAAGTGGTTGACACATGTATACACTCACATGTTTACTGAAGGAATGAGCGAATTGGGTTGGTTTGATGAGCCATTAATGCATTCCATCTGTATAAATGGCGATAAGAACAAGTCCTGCATAGCTATACCACTTTCGTATTTCAAACCTCTTGCTCACCCTGCATTTATTTCACTGTGTGCTTTTAGGCAGAAAACTGCAGACTGAATGAAGCAAATTATCCAGATCCCTGTGAAGAAATAAAAAGGCTTTTACTTTTAAGTCCCTTTCCATTGCCACTTCTTAAACCTGACATGTTCAAAATCAGCTGCGTATCACTATGCCAGGGGTTCATAAGGTGATGGTTAACAGTTGGGCTCAGCACTCAGATTTGGTTTCCATTCCAGTTCTGCACTTAGTATAGCCTCTATCAAGGTACTTAACTTTCTACCCTCACTTTCTCCTAAAATAAGGATACCGAATAGGATTATTAAGAAGAAATCATCACCTGAGCGCTCAGATCAGCTTCTGACACATAGTAAGTACTTTTAAAGGAGAGGAGGACAACATATTCATTCAGCAAACCTTTATTGGACAGCTGCTGTCTACAGAGAGCTTGCTAAGTGCTAGGAGTGCAGACATACATCATTTCCACCTCTGTACTCTCAAGGAGTTTAACCTGATGAGGGAGACAGATAAGTAAAACAATAAGAATTACTATTCTATTCTACTGAGTAGCTTACTCAATACCTACAGTTTATTGAGTTGCCTACGAGGCATGTTTCAATGGCATGCCTAAAACATTATATATACATATGTTATCTACTAATTAAGTATTTATAAGTAGTGACATAATATAATATATAAATTACTCACAATAACTTTATGAAGTATAGATACCGTCCCCATTTTACAAATGAGGAAACCAAGTCTCTAAGAAGTAATTTACCCAAAATCACATGGCTAAGTGGGAAACCCAGGATTTGATCCCAAATCTGCCTGACTCCAAAGTCTTCCTGAACCTGTACATCAGATTACCAATACAATGTGTATAAGTGCTTTGGCAAGGTTATAGAAGACATCTGCATATATGCTGTTACAATAACCTTCACGAACCTACTTGTCTCTTGGTGTTTCTTTTAATGTTCCTATAGGCTGAAGTTCCTATTTTCTCTAGTTATGAGAAATAGAAGTAAACATCTGCTTAGTACCAGTCCTTGTAAGTTAACAGGACGCTTTCTTTGTCCTAGACACGTAAAGCCGAGGTTGAGACTGGGATGCCATCGGCACGTAATGTCTTCCTCACTCTTGCTGTCTTCTTGCCTGTGAAGTGTACCAGTGAATAAGCTCGGCCAATGAAGAGGCCAGGCCGCCTTCCCGACAGGCCTCTGTCCCAGTCACTCCTTTAAGTTCATTCCACCAGGGAATTTCAGAATAAAGGAGTTCTATAATGGCTCTTTGAGACGTTAAAACTTGACAGTGCTATTTGGGGAGTGTCCTCAACTTACATGTGCTAAAACTCATCCTGTGATTATGGTTTAAAGTACAGCAATTATTGGACCTATTTCAGGATCTCCAAACACACATCCCAGAGCTTCTTGTGCTTTTCTGTGTGAGTGAAATTAAATGTTATTTGAACATCTAGTCCTTGACTCATTTGAGAATATAGTTTTCCTAAAAAATTAGAAACAGATCGATATGGACATATGGTATAATGTGAGGGGTTAGTCAGAGTGGAATTGAGAAGATAAGACCGGTCTGACAGTCATTTTGGAAAATGGAGTATGTGACTGAACTGTAGTCACGTTGTGAAGGGAGCAGCTCTCGGTGCCTCATACTCCTGGACGCCCAGGGCAGATCACAGTGTTGCCCACCAGGGTTAGACGGTGCCCGGGGCCCTTTCCCCACATGCACCCTCTTTTTCTCTTCTGAACCCGTAAGCTCCTCTCGGTTTTTTTCTGCCTTCCTGCATATTTTCTCAGGACTTTTTTCCCTGAAAGCCAATAGTTGGTAAGGCTACTTCACAGAAGAAGGGAGCAGACATTTCTCATCTGCTATGTTCCAGGAATTTTACATTCTTGATCTCATTTAATCCTCACAGCATCCTATCTGGGTAGGTGGACTATCCCCACATTGATAGATACAGAAACTAAGGTTCAGGGAAGTTAAATAATTGACCTAGAGGACTTATAGAACATGGCCAAACGGGAGATCAGCTCTCATTCTCCCTAACTTCATAGGTTGTACTCTGCGGGGATTGTGACTGTTGTTACTGTTACTGCTGCTTGCCGCCAGCTTTGACATCAGCCAGCTAAGAGAATGCTTCGCCTAAGGTGCAGATGTGTGTGTTGTCTCAGGGTGTAAATAGGGTGTGAGTTTATGTGAACCCATTGGCTTCCCGCAACAACCTGCTGACTTCATATATTTGTTATTTCAGCTTTAGAGATGGGGAAACTAAGGCTCACAAAGACTGATCCAGAGTCACACAGCCAGTCAGTCTGGCACTGAAGACGTGATATCCAGTTTCCTTGGGGCACCTCTTAAAGCTCACTGTCCGGGCAGTGCTGTGCTCTAGCTGGGTGCACGGCCAGTTCCTGTCGCTAAGGCAGTGTCCTCCAATCAGGGGTGCGCTATAACAGAAGCCGGTGTGCTATAATTTACAAAACAATAGGAATTTATTTCTTCAGTGGGTGCATGAGACTAGGTGAATGTTTAGCAAGCGGGCACAAGCTCGCATTTATTCCAAAGCTCACTGAATTCCACTGTAATTTTCATTCATTTTGAAGGCATCTGAGTATAGTATTTTCAGAGTGCATGCAGTATATCAAAGCTATAGACTCCATATGCCTAACAAAGGGGAAGGCCATTAACAGTTTTGAAGTATAATATCACTGCGTACCATAAATGAGTAAATTCTGGTGACAGGTGACCTGTGGCCGGGCCATATAGCCATCCCATGTTAATGAGCAGTTCAGATAGGTATCTGCCTAAATCAGGATGTAGAGAACTGTCACTTAAGAAACACTGCACTTGGTTGCCTAAACTATTGGGTCGTCGGGAAAGTCATGATGCATTTTTTTCATTGAAAAACACAGAAAAATACGTCGTGACTTTCCCAACCACCCAATATATCTTTCTACGCTGGGGTCATGGCTGTAAGAACAGCCAGTCACTCGGTTGTGTTTAGGTAAATATCTTAGTGTTTACTCATGTGGTTCTTTCATTATAAACCATATAAGACAAAGAACTCTTAATAGAGGAGTAATTAAAATTCTAAGGCTATCAAATTCATGTTGGTTGTCCACACCGATAGAGTTTTTTTCAACCTTAAAAATACATCATTTAAAGTCTTTTTCCAATCTCTTACTCTCTTTGAGAAGAAAACTTGATTTATGTATACATTCATTCCAGAAAAATATATTGAATACTTAATATTTGCTCTAGTCATTATGCTAAGTGCTAGGGAAACATCACAAGATAAATGTCATCCCATTCCTCGCAGAGTGCATAGTAGTGATACTGTTCATATAGCATATTATAAAATTTGTTACAGAGAAATTCAGTGTAGTTTGAGAGCATAAATAAAAGTAACATTTATTTCCATCCCAATAGATTTCGGTTTTGGAAATTTCTTTAAAAATGGTGAACTGCTGGCAACATGGTGTGGCAGCCCCCCTTATGCAGCCCCAGAAGTCTTTGAAGGGCAGCAGTATGAAGGACCACAGCTGGATATTTGGGTATTTCTTTGCTTTGCTGTGTTAAATGCATCTATAATGATAATGCTTGGTATTCTGGCCCATCTTTAAAGTTCTTGGTACCTAACACAGAGGCAGTAGTTCATACTTTCCCTGTCCACTGGACTATATTTAGAGCATCTTGAATTGGATTCTAAGGAAGAATTTCTATGGACAAATGTTATCATCCTAGTATCAGCAGTAATTTAAATAGTAATCAAAATGGTTAAATTCAGATCTTTTGGTGTTTTTTATAGCATACTTTATTGCAGTAATCAGGGTTTCAGTTTTTTGTTTTGTTTTTCAAATTCAAGAAAATAGTAAATTCAGACAGAAATGTTTCAGTCCATATGATTTTAAGAGCCCTGGGGATGTTTGGGAAAACAGAGTGTTTAAAGTTCTTGTTCAAAAACTGACCCCATTGTTTTCTTCCCCTAGAGCATGGGAGTTGTTCTTTACGTCCTTGTCTGTGGGGCTCTGCCTTTTGATGGACCGACTCTTCCTATTTTGAGGCAAAGGGTTTTGGAAGGAAGATTCCGGATTCCGTATTTCATGTCAGAAGGTAACAACCTGTTCATCTTACTAATTGTGCTTCACAAAATTTGCACTCTGAATGAAATGCCTAGGCAAAAGCTTCCCTTTTTCTAAGAGCTTGGGTGCTAAATAAAGTGACTGAGTTACTTTAAAAGCCATAGAAATAAGCAGCCCCCTCCATGTAGGTGAAAAAAGCTCCAGCCTTCCTACTGGTAACTGAAAACAGAAAGTTTCCCTGATCAAGAACAGCGAGTCTTCCCATTTACTCCCTGTCTGTAAATGTCCCAGGTTTTAGACTTAGAGAAGCTCTTTGTAGATACAGATTCATAACCCTTTTACTGTAAGTATGAAATGGATTTTCCCATATCCTTTGACAAGAAGTTGCGAAATTAAAATTTTTTAATCAAATTTAAAAACCAACTGGCCAAACTATTGACCTAGGATGAAATGTCATAATTCCTACCAGTCTTGTATTGGTTTGTAACATGGGCAGCAGGTAAGATTACTCCTGAGATTCGTTTTTGGTTATCATCCTTAACTCCTGTGTTTCTAGGAACAGTAGAAATAATGCTCTAATAGTTAAGAGTGTAGACTTTGGAGTCAGACTGCCTGTTTTTCATCCTGAGTTCACCACTTACTGGCGGTCTGACTTTGGCCTCTCTGTGCTATATCTCCCCTCTGTGCTTCAGTTTCCTCAGTCTATAAAATGCAAATAACCATAGTTCCCAATAGGGGTATTGTGAGGATTAATTAAATCAATCTCTATAAAGCATTTAGCATGGTGCCTGGCACATAGCAATTGATCTAAGTTTGGCTTCTGTGGGCTAGAAAAGAGCATGTCAGCTCAGAGAATAAGCTAGTGCCCAAAGTTGCAGCAGTGCAGTTTTCTTAGTGTAATCAGAAGTAAATAATGTTTGACGGACATGTTTCTCAGCTGCACTGATATGGAGAAAGCAACAAACCACTGGACAGCTCTTGCTTCACATACACAGCCTTAGTGTATCAGCCTTAGATGTGACTGAGGCCCACTTATTATTTGCTTATTCTAGGCTTGTTTTTTTCTTTGTCTAGTTATTTTCAGTTGAGAAATTTAATAGAAGACTTCACTTAGCACAGAATTGGATAGACCTACTGCCCCCTGTTTTTTTAAGTGTTCATTCAAGGTGACGGTTAACTTTATGTGTCAACATTCACCACGTGAACTTGACAAATACAAGTAACCTTCATGTATTCACTTAATTCATTTGACTTTCTGCTTTCCAGTGGGCACCCTAGAGGGATACAAAGATAAACGCCATTGTACAAAGTCACATGAAGCAGGCAAACACCCTGAAATGCAAGGTGATTTACCTGACTTTTGCAACATTATGTTTTCCATAGATTGTGAGCACCTTATTCGAAGGATGTTGGTTCTAGATCCATCCAAACGGCTAACCATAGCTCAAATCAAGGAGCATAAATGGATGCTCGTAGAAGTTCCAGTACAGAGACCTGTTCTCTATCCACAAGGACAAGAAAATGAGCCATCCATCGGGGAGTTTAATGAACAGGTTTTGCGACTGATGCACAGCCTCGGGATAGACCAACAGAAAACCATTGAGGTAAAGCGATCCGAGATTCGACTAAAGATATTTTAGGATTCTATTGTACTCACTAACCTGCAATTTCATGCTCATACCTGTCATCCTGGTCTTTCAGCATAGCCATCCCCAGCGCGTAGGCATGCTGTCAGTTTTCCCTAAAGGTTACATCCGACTCTATTAGGTTTGCTTTTATTCAGTGTATAAATTCCTCCCTTTGGCTCATCTGCTAAAAAATTCAAGAGGAAGGGTTTATATAGGACTGAGTAAAGACAAAGGTGGAAGCTTAACAAATACTAAGTAGAAAGTTTCTTCTAAGATGAAGCATAAAGTTTTATGTAAATAATAAACTAGTTTCTATGGGTCATAAATGTGCAGCTAGGGAACAAGGCTGAGGGCTGAGCAGAAAACGAGAATGGTAGGCACAGGCTTAGGAAAGCCAATGGGACTTAGGGTGTGAGCGGGAGACACTGAGAAGGCAGAAACAGATGGATTCCTAATGTGGAAGTATTATGGGTCATAGAACTGAGAAGGCCACACACCTGGGAAATTCCTAATCTCTTGTATTTCTGTCTTTAATATGTAGTTAACATATTCATAAGCTATGCATATCTTTAATACCGTCACAACAGTAAAAAAATGAATAGTACTTTCAAGGAGGAGCCATAACATGAAAGAATATGAAATGCCTTCTTGTGAATATAAGGTGCTCCAAATTGTGCTGCCTTTTCCTTCATTGTAGCCATAAGTGAACCAGACTGGCTTTCCCGCTTTGCTCATCATGTGCTCAGCGATGTTCTGTACTTGTCCATGAGGTAGGTCCAGAATGGCAGCTGCGAGCACAGTTGTGCTGGTGCGGGATGTTTCTTGAGAGCGCCCCGCCTCCGAGAGCACTGCACAGAGCCCCCACAGGCTGTCAGGTGGAGCCACAGACCAAAGGAGCAGTGACTGCTCTGTTCCGTTAGCATCCTGGGAATGCTGGCCAACCAGGGATGTGAAAAACTGGGAAGCAACTTTATTTTCAAGGTTTCAAGAGGGTGGGACTGCAAAAGCAAGAGGAAAAAATTACCTAAGAATGGAGACACAGTGTCTCTCAATCTAGCATCCAGACGTCATTCTCCAGCCCAAAATAATCACTAGAAAGTTCCCCGAAGACTTTAATCATTCACTTTAGAGTTTGCAATGGTTTGTTGAAGTTGTGGAATTACAGTCTCTGGGCTCAGGCTGCTGACCAGCCTTACACCGTAGTTACAGCTATGAGAGGGGACCATATAAGACAGCATTGGGGAATGTCCCCATGAGACAATGGTGACATTGTCTCTGAAAGCAGAAAAATGAGCGACTCCTGTTCATCTAAAAGGGCTGGTCAAGTCAGCCAAAGGTATCACCCTTTATATAATTCATACTAGAAACTTGAAATGATCGGCCTTTCATTCTAAATTTCTGGAAGAGCTTTCATTTTGAGGCCCTTTGTTACTTACTGTTTTTAGGAGCACATGATTTCTTTGGTCTTTTTTTAGAAAGAGCATTGGATTGGTTTTTTTATGGTTCTCTGCCTTTGGCACTTGTTTTCTCTTTCAGTCTTTGCAGAACAAGAGCTACAATCACTTCGCTGCCATTTATTACTTGTTGGTGGAGCGCCTGAAATCACATAGGAGCAGTTTTCCTGTGGAGCAGAGACTCGATGCCCGCCAGCGGCGGCCCAGCACCATTGCTGAGCAAACAGTTGCCAAGGTAACACCCCATTAGCCAATCGTCTTATCTGCATGTGCCTATTCACATGGTTGACACATTTTTCATCTTGGAGTACAAAGGGTTAGGATTTCATCCCCTGCCTCTGTTGTTCTGTTAAGTTTCTGCCTATCATTCACTGGATTCTCAAAATGTTTTAGCCCCTTCCTATTTTTAAGGATTAACTTTATTTCCAGCATTTTTTTCTATTAGAGATTTTTCATTGTTTTATCACTCACTTATGTTGAGGATTAATGTAACCAGCTTGTCATTCAGTTTCTTTTAATAAGTTTTTATTGCAGATTTACCCTGTAGAAGCTTCTATGAATAGGCACTGCAGGGGATAAGGATGGATAAAATACAGTTACTGGCTTCAGAGACATTATAATATTGAAGCGAAATAAGACGTTATAAATAACCATGATTCAAAATAGAGAAAGATGAATGCTGTAGAAGAACTAAGGGCAAAGGAGAGAAATACATTTGAATGGGAAAGGCGTGAGAGAGGTGGCATTTAAGACAGACCTTCACAGATGTGTGGAGAGACAGTAGGTAAAGGCACTGTATGCAGGCAGAAGAAGCAGCGTGAGCAGAAGTACGCAAGTGGACAAGTGTAGGCCTCGTTCAGGTTAATCCACTTGAATTGAAGTATAGGGAAATTAAAAAGTTGGAACGATAAGTTGAAGCCATGCTGTGAAGGGCTTTGAATGCCGAGTTTACTTATAATTCAGGAAGTAGTGAGGAACAACTGAAGGGCATTAAGTAGAAAAGTAATGTAATTCTATTCATGCTTCAAGCTAATCTGATAACAACGGGAAGGATGGGTTGGCAAGGGAAGAGAAGAAATTTGGAGAGAGCAGTTAGATTATTATAGTCGTTGAAATGAGAAATACTAAAGGCTTGAACTATATGGTTCTGGGGGATGTGGAAGGAAGGGACAGTGTAAGGACCATTTCAGAGGTAGACGCTGTCTGAACTTAGCAATGGTTTGGAGCTCAGCATGGTGTTTAAAAGCAGGGAGTTTTAACCAATTTATTAGAAACTTTGGAGCAAATGCCAGATTCTGCCATTTCCATCTGTACGACCTTAAAAAGTAACTTAAGGTCTACCTGTGCCTTGGTTTCCCAAGCTGCAAAATAGGGATAATAATCATAGGCTGTTACGACAGTGAAATTAGTCAATAATGGTGCAGCACTTAGAACAGTGCTATGTGTTTGTTATATTAAGTCATAAATAAATGTTGGGGAGGAAGGGACAACGGTGAGTTCGAGGTGACTCCATTCTTGAGCCCCGGCTGAGAGAATAGTGGTGGCACCGACTCTGTTGCTTAGGATGAAGAGTGGGTCTGGGTACCAGGAGAGGGGCTGGGGCTGGAGAGGGTTGGGACATCATCTGTATAGAGGCTGAGAAGACAAGCGGTTCATTCATATGATCTATTAGGATTTCCGTGTGCCCGTACCTCTGTGAGCACTAACTTTGTTCAAAGTGCAGGGAAGAGCACAAGAGTTTTTCTTGTTTGGCAGTTTTACAAAATTTATAAGATCATAATAGAATTTTGTATTGGTTTCTATAGGACATGTGAAAAAAAAAACAAGGAAATTAAACTCTTCTTGATTTTAGTAGGCAAATGGTATACTTTGTTACACATACTTACTATATAAAATAATGTGAAGATTGATACTAATGTGAGTCAAAGAATGTATAATGAAGTCCAAGTATTGGGCTTAGCACTTGGATTCCTTCCAAGTTGAATGGTATCACTTTCAAGAAAGAGAGGAGGAGGATAAAATGAGAATTCTTAAGTTGGGGTAGTAATAGTGAGATGCAGTGGTACCTCGGCCCTCTTGAGAGTGCTGCCAGGCAAAAGGAGAGGAAGCAGCAGCCCCCAGTGCTGGAGGCCCTCCCTCCTGGGTCCCTTCGTTCTTAAACATTACGCAGTGAGTGAAGGGGGTTACCTAACGGAACACGATTTCCTTTCATATCTAAACCTGAAGCAAATTCCCTGGCAGATCTCAAATTGTATTTAATTTGCCGTGGTGTTCAGATGTGGAACATGGCTTCTTATGTTTGATAACTTTTATTACCAGGCACCCGACGAGTTCCTTTCATTTCACTCCTTGACCTAAGTTGTCATACTTATTCCTGTGACTTAAAATGTATGTAATTCGAGCAGGAATCTTCAATATTCATTCACAAACCTGTCTTGAGTGCAGTACCTTCTGGATGCAACAGGCATGGGCTGAACATGTTCCTTTCCGTCCGAGATTTCACAGTCTCGGTTTTTACAAATATAAATGTGCTTAAAGGCTTAGTAGAGCCTCCTCCCTTTAATTCTTTGATGTTCTAAAAATTTGTTTATAGAAGTGGCAAATCACTTATTTGCTGTAGCGATAAGAAATTGGGGAAATGACATCTTCCCATGCAAAGATCACACGCGCTGTCAAACCTTGCAGACCTTGGGTTCTATACTGAGCTGAGTGACGTCAGCAAGTCAGAATCTCTAAGCTCCAGTGTCCTTAAATATAAAATGGAAATAGCAATACCTACTTTCTAAGTTTGCTACAAAGATAAAATTAGTGAAACTATACCAGCAGATCAGTTCAGCAAATAGAGCACTGTGTGCAGTCCCAGCCACTGTGGTCTGAGGGACCTAGGAAAGTCTCTGCCCTTAAGGACTGTATGGTCTAGTGATAAAGTACCCATTATAACTACTTAGAAATCAGTGAGATTCCCATCTTAGATCGATTTAGAGTACTTACATTTGTTGTGTAATATACAGGGAATGTCACATCTAATTGACTGCAGACAACTATGTAGAAAAACATGTCATGCCTTTTTCTTGTGAATTCTAACTACTAGTTCCTAACAGCCCTTCCAATCCAAGTTTCTATCAACTATAAGCAGACAAGAATGAAATATTCATCCCAATTCTTCTTTAATTACCGATGAGAGGTCACCCTCCACAACTTTTAAGGAAAAGCATTGTATTAGTCGACTAGGCTGCCATAACAAAGCACCACAGACTGGGTGGCTTAAATAGCATCAGTTTATTTGCTCACAGTTCTGGAGGCTAAAAGTCCAAGATCAAGGTGCCATCAAGGTTGGTTTCTGGTGAAGACACTCTTCCTGGCTTATAGACAGATGCCTTCTGTGTCCTCACATAGCCTTTCCTCTGTATGTGTGTGTTGGGACGGGGGGAGGAGATATCTCTTGTGTCTCATCCTCTCCTCGTATTAGAGGGACACCAGTCCTATTGGATTAGGACCCCACCATTATGACCTCATGTAACCTTAATTACCTCCTTAAAGCCCCTATCTCCAAATATAGTCACATTGTGGCTTAGAGCTTCAACATACTGATTTGTGTGGGACACAGTTCCACACAAATAACAAGCATATTCCTATCGGAGCAATAATGATTTTCCCATAGGAGAGAAGGTAATTTTCATTTTAATAGTTCTGGAAAGCACAAAGTCAGAAGAAGAGATTCAAAACAATAAACATATGGTTTAAAAAGTCATTATAATTAGTTAGACATGATCATTGTTTATTACCAAAGAAACTGTTAATATCTGCTTCCTTGGGATATTAATCAACCGTCTATTCATTATAACATATTCTTTAGTCATCTCTGTAGTGCTGAGCATGCCATTTGAATATTTATACCCTACCTTGTTCCAAAGAGACTTTTTTAATTTCCTCCATGATTGCAGGAATCCTAAAAAGACCCCTAAAACCAACCATGAAGTGACTTTGTCACAATAAAATGTGTTATTCCTCTGTCCTTACCAAGTTCACGGTAAGTTGTTGTCATAGACCAGGTTGTGAAAGTTGTCAAGTGTTCTACACTTGGTCTGCAACAGCACGCCTGCCATTTAAAAAGCCACAGCTAATGAGAGGCAGGGACTGAGAAAGGACAGCACATCATAGTGACAGTGCTGGCATCTCACTTCCAGTGCAGTATCTTCAAGCAGTGCTTTGACCAAGTAATGTAGATTGCTTTCACATAGGAACAGTCTGATAATTTTGAAAACAGAGATCAAAGTTCAGCGTTGTCCTTTAATTGAAAAGCTGATGATGAGGGTAAGAAGAATATACCTAATATACTCTATTAGGAAATTTAAATTTTACATTGTGACATGGTGGCTAAAAAATTAATTTAAATAACTAATGTTTGAAAGGAAGAAAAAGTTGTTTAGCCTCAAAAGAGGCTCAGCTCAGGATATAAGCCTGAAGAATGATGATAGAAGAAAAGCTATTTCCTTATCGTGCTCAGAGTGATGCAATATATTTTTTGGTTTTACCATCTATATAATAATCTAGCACTTTGCTGTTGCTATTTTGTTCTTTATTTTGCACAGTATATCTAATGAATATATCAAATATAAAGTATATTCAAATGTAAAGTATATTTCTAACATATCTTCCCATTTTTGAAAACCATCAACCTGAAATTTTAACTGGAAACCATTAGATAGTGTCTGAGAACAAAACAGTGTTTTCATTTTGTAGCCTAATTCCTATATTAAATTCTTGTGATCATTTTAAGACTTTAGAAAGAAAGAGAAAGGAGGCATTAACATTACTGAGTGAAGGACTTTACATGTTACCTTTTACAACCCTGACTTCACTGTGAAGTAGATATTATGCCCTTTTTTCAGGTAAAGAGAATAAGATTCAAAGGGGTTAGGTAACCTGATAAAGTTCACACAATGCGTAAGTGATGGAGCCAGGAAAGAAACCCAGGTCTTGGGAGAGGAAAAGCTAGAATCACCCCATTTGTTCCTTTTCATTTGTTTGAGTTTAAAACTCACCATCCTATACCCCTTGAAGTGATTATAGCAGAAAAAATATAGGCTATTTCTCTGCCTTTTAGAAACTAGTATGATGATTGTTCCCTTAGATGTTTTGCAATGTCCGTTATGTTCAAAAGGCATCTAATAAATTATTCTCCTAGTTTGGAAGAAATGGGGAGGAAGGGATTACCCAACAGTTTCATCTTTAAAGTCAATCCCTGCCAACTGTCATAAAGGAAGATTGTCTTTTAAATGATTTTTTTAAAAGAAGAGTTTGTAATGCTTGTTGATTTAGCATTCTTATCAAGGGAGACATGAAGAATGGACTTAAAACCATCAGGAGCTTTCTATAGTAGAAAACATGACTTGCTCAGCAATTAGCATCTGTCTTTCCACTGGGCCGCAGGCTGTGTTCAGCCTGTGCATCTCCTTGACAGGACATTCTTGTCACCTTCAAGTAACTGCTGCTGCTTTTTTCATCCTCTTTGCGCATACAATCTTGCCAAGAAATATATACCATCTCACCCCACCAAAAAGGGGGGATGGGGGCGGGCAGACAGATAGGCAGCACTTCCTGCAGTGTACTCTGTATTATATATTATAGCTCATTGCTTGTGTGTGTCCATCCCTGGTTCAGTTTTGAGCTCCTAGCAGCAGGGACTTTTCTTTATATCTTTCTGAGGTAATATACATAAGGATAGAGACAATATGTTTGTTGAATTCAAAAAAAGAGCATTCTTACAAAGACTAGCTTCCTTGTCACCTCTATGAAAGTTATGCTCCCCATCATGGAACAGGATGAAATTCTGTGCAGCCTATCTCAAAATAATTGATTGCTGAGCCTGCTTCAAATCAACACCTGTACCATTTACATATTTCATCAAATCTTCTCAGGAGTTTCCACCAAATAATGATTTATCCTTGAACTGTGCCAGGAAGAATTATTTTACTCTAAGAATTTTGTGTATTTATATAGAAAGCATTAATGTTCCCAAACTGTCTGTTCTTGCCACATTTACAGGCACAGACTGTGGGCCTCCCAGTGAACATGCATTCACCGAATGTGCGATTGATGCGATCTACCCTCCTCCCACAGGCATCCAATGTGGAGGCCTTCTCATTTCCAGCCTCCAGCTGTCAGGCGGAAGCAGCGTTTATGGAGGAAGAGTGTGTTGACACCCCAAAGGTATGTGTGTGTTTGAGACTCTGAGCTTGCAGGTTGGCCTGAGACTTCACTTTGGTTCATAGGTGTTGTACTTTGGCTTTGTTGAACTTTGTCATTTCCTGAAGTCACTCAGGAATGTTGTTTTTGTGCAGAAGAACCTGAGAGAAGTATTCAGGGACAAACTCGGCTCTCATTGCCATCTTATCATTACGACCATTGCGTCACTTGTCCGGTCAGACCTCATGTGTACTTTTCAAAATCCTTTCTCTTTCCTTAACCAAATCCTTCTCTTAAAGTTTCTAGATCCTTCATAGGTTTTGGATTTTTTTTTCTTTAATTGAGGAATTGGGGGAGGGGAACAGCATTGGGGAATCAAGGAAGGGGAACACACAAGTTGCTGTCCTTTTGTGCTTCAGTCTATTGGGTTGTCGGAAAAGTCATGACGTATTTTTTTCTGTTTTTCATTGCAAAAATGTGTCATGACTTTTCCGACAACCCAATAGCTGTGGAGGACGTCGCTTTACTGGCCCATGTTGGTATTGTGATCATTGCATTCTTCACAGCTGAGGCAGATTGGTCATCAGCCATTGGACGGCGGTGCTGGTTGGATATTTTTTATACAGATTGTAATTCTCAAAGCAAAAGTCTAACTATGGTGCTGCATTGGGCTTTGTGTTGTTATTGCCGCTCTTCTGCAGCAGGTGCTGCAGCTACACACTGATGAGCCGTCTGTTCTGGTCAGTTGTACATCTTTTTTGTCCAATTTGGACCTGCTTAAAGGATGTAAGTTCATCCTGGTGTACTGCATAAAGTTGGCTTTTAGGATATAGAAGATGACAGCTTCTCTCATTCATTGGATATTTACTTCTAATATGTGTTTTACATACTTAGCATCAAGTGGTGTAAAGAGGATCATATTAATGGCCAAGTCTTAGAACATAGGTCTTGGAGTGATGTTCAAAATAAACTCCATTCTTTACTAGCTCTGTGAACTTGGACAGGGTGACTAACTTCTTTAAACCTCCATTTTCTCTTGTGTAAAGTGAAACGACCAACTTCATGAGACTGTTGTGAGAATTAATTGAGATAATGTGTGTGAGGTTCTGGCCAAATTGTAGATACTCAGTAAATATTGCTTTCCTGTCTTTTTAGCCTGATTAGGTAATAAAAAGATGAGTCAGACATGAATTCTGCCTTGAAGTTTATAGCCTAGCAGAAGAGACATGATGCATAACTAAAGACAGTGTGCCAGGTGCTGAATAAATTGATAAAACATAATTGGTCCTTTTATTTTTTTTACCCATCTCCTCACCCCCTCCCCTTTAGCAGCCATTAGCTTGTTCGTATGAGTCAGTTTTGTTTTGTTTGTTCATTTGTTTTGTTTAGATTCCACATATAAGTGAAATCATATGGTATTTGTCTTTCTCTGACTTATTTCACTCGGCATAATATCCTCTAAGTCCATCCATGTGTCGCAGATAGCAAGATTTCCTTCCTTTTCATTGCTCAATAATATTCCATTGTATATATGTACCACATTTTCTTTACCCTTTCATCTATCAGTAGACACCTAGGTTGTTTCCATGTCTTGGCTATTGTAAATAACACTTCAGTGAACATAAGGGTGCATATATCTTTTTTTTTTTTTTTAAGATTTTTATTGGGGAATTGGGGGATGGAACAGTGCTGGGGAATTGGGGGAAGGGGAACAAGACAAGTTGCTGTCGTTTTGTTCTTCAGTCTAGTTGTGGAGGACGTTCCAAGTTGGCACCATCATTGCGCTCTTCCCAGGTGAAGCACATCATTCGCCGGCTTCTGGACGGCCGCTCACTGCGGCTGCTGGCCGCTCACGCTGGCTGCTGGCTACATACGGTAGCCCATGGCAACCCACTGCCAC